ATGCTATCAAGGGTATGCGCAAGTATGAGAGAAGAGTAAAGGAACTGTCCTATCAGGTAAGGAGGGAGGCCCTTTGTGCTGTCACATCCTTCTCCTGGGAGCACGAATTATTTGCATGTGAACCTGCAGGGCAGAATTTTTATTGCCATTTTCAAACAGTAAGACAGTGAACAGTAATACTATGGAAAAACAAAGAGTTCACCAGAAATCATTTAAAAGATTATTAAAATTTCCATGTTATAATCTTTATTATCCTACTTACCAAAATGTTTTATATGGAACATTGCTTTCACTTTATAATATGAAGGAAATAGACAAATAATTAGGAAATGAATTGTCTCTCTTCCATTACAAACGCTTTTTAGACTGAGGAAGACCGCAAGAATGTTTTCAGGCTCCAGGATCTGGTAGACAAACTACAACTGAAAGTGAAAGCTTACAAGAGACAAGCTGAGGAGGCTGTAAGTATCATTCTGAGGCAGGCGAATATTCATCCTCTTATGGGATAGAAATTCTGCTACTTTGAGGAGAATGATATTAAGTTGTTTTCCACTAATTGTCTGTCTGTATGTCTGCCTATCTAAGCCCCTGGAATTTGTTTGATGCCTTGTGGATGTTTTTTGCACAACAGCTCAAGTACACAGAGAATTAGTTTGTATCGGCCATTGTAACATCCCTTGTGGACACCTGGACGGGTTCAGAGCAACATCGTTGGGAGAGGGCTTCCCACAACACAGTGCCAACCTAGAACAATGGATCTGGGAGGCTGCAGTAAACACAATTTCATTCAGATATAAACAATACCTTTAAGTTGCAATTTTGCCAGAGCCAGAAAATGCTGTCACCTTATCAAAGAACGTTTCTTCCCCCGGGGCAATGGCTGAGGTACTTCGGTCTTGGAACAAATCAGGATTTGTGTACATCATAGCAGAGTTTGCACATTCTTTGGCCTGTACCTGTTCGGTTTACCACTCTTGTACATTCTGTAGCATGGTGTTATCAGTCTGGTGGGATATTTACACTCCTCCTGTTTTTCAGGGGTGCTTGTACATTTCTTGAAAAGAATTTGTCACAGAAAGTTATGAGCAACAGAGAAAGGGGTTAGAATGGAAGCTATCTGAACTACAGTATACACTACCCACTCAAATATTAAGTACATACAGTAAATACCATTAAAGTCTTTTTAATATAAAACTCCCTCTTATCTTGTCCCAGAATGTAAATCGCCTGTCCAGTAGCTCTTCTAATTATTTAAAGCCCCACTATCTATCAGAATACTTTTGATTTCCCTGTAACAATACACAAAAAATAAGGAGCCACTCCGTGTGTGTGTGTGTTTCACACAGATAGATAGATTTGCACTAGGGAACTAAAACTTTTTAAAGTTTTTTGTGACAGGCTTATAGTGCTTTTGATATAGCACAACTGATCTGTTCCTTTCATTCAGTTCTGTCTTCCTCTTCCTTGTAAGATGCATCTCACTAGAAAGTATCAATTGCCCTTTTCTTGCAAAAGCATGAGCACACATTCTAATTGTATGAAAGGTAATTTTGGGGGAATCTAATACAAAATCTAGCAAATAGGAGATTTTTTAGACTGCTCATCTAAAGTGTTCCCCTTAAAATGCTTATGAGCTAGAATGGTGTGGCATCTGTCATTTGGATTTCTTCATTGTCCCATCCACCGTAGGATAAACTTTTAGTAACAATCATATGTTTACTGTCATTTTGCAAATGCAAAAGACTCCAGCATTATCAGTGAACATACACAGCTAAAGATACATAACTCTTAAATGTTTGCAAAAGTATTTCAATTCGTTTTAAATAAATTTTCTAAATTAGAAAATGATGAGGTAAGAAGTGGTCAGTGAGTGACAGAGTTTGGGCCTTCCCCTCGGCAAACAGTTGCATCCAATCAAGTCCCAAATGTGGGAGAAGGGGAACTGTTAGCCTTTTGGTTTTCACAACACTTTCTCCATCCTCAGGAGGAACTATCCAATGTCAACCTCACTAAGTTCCGCAAGATCCAGCACGAGCTGGAAGAGGCTGAGGAGCGGGCTGACATTGCAGAGTCCCAGGTCAATAAGCTCCGGGTGAAGAGCCGCGAGGTTCACAAGAAGATTGAAGGAGAAGAGTGAGGATGTCTCCATGCTGCAAAGTGACTGAGAAATGCACAAAATGTGAAACTCTCTGTCACTTTGCTTTGTAATTATTGTTTATTCTGTCCTCAGTGTCTAGGAAATAAAGATTGTAGAGCGCTTTGCATACAAAGAACCAGAAGTGGCTTTTGTGTTGTACTTGTTAGCTCTAGAGTCTTATTAAGGTTTGTGCACTTATATTTTTCTAACTAAACATACACAAAATATTTGTAAACTGTCATCCCTACATTTTTAAAGAATTTGGGCCACCATTAAGATAATCCAATCTGACCTCATGCAAATACATCTCTACCCCGATATAACGCTGTCCTCGGGAGCCAAAATATCTTACTGCATTATAGGTGAAACCACGTTATATTGAACTTGCTTTGATCCGCCGGAGTGCACAGCCCCACCCCCCCGGAGCGCTGCTTTACCGTGTTATATCCGAATTCGTGTTATATCAGGTCGCGTTATATCGGGGTAGAGGTGTACAAGGCCACAGAATTCACCCAGGAATTCCTGGAGTAGAGGAAATTATTCTTCTGTATGATGTAAGTGAATGCTGTCAACCCATCCAGTCTTGATTCAAAGCCACCAAGCAATGAGGAAATACCAAATCTCTTGGTAATCTGTTCCACTGGTCAATTACTCACACTGTTAACAAGTTGTATCTTATTTCCAATTTGAATTTTTCTAAATTCAACTTCCTGGGAGTTGTGTTACATGAAATTGACCCCACAAAGCAGATCTGCTCCCTGTGTAGTGTGGCAAATGGCTGGTGCTATTATGATGGGTCCCATGCTTTCCCTTCCTGTGATGAGTCAGGGCGCTGCCTGTTGCCCCTATTCTTGGGCATTGAGGGATCCGCTAGTGCCCTGGTAGGAGAGAGAAGGGGAGCTGGGAAGGGACCTGGGCCTGTCCTCTACTCTGGGTCCCAGCCCCTTCAGTTTCGTGGGCTTCCTGCCCTCTCCCCACTTGGGCAGGGTTTCTCTCAGTCCTGTGTGCCTGGGGAGTCCCTCTGCTTTGCTTGAGCAGGGTTTCCCTTCCCCTGGTACTCTGATCCTCTGATTAACAACAGTACTCCTCCAAACTACAGTCATCTCTCCTTCCCCCTCCCTGTCTGACTGAAGCAGGGGGTTTTATTAGGTCTCTGGCAGGGCCCTAATTGTCTCCAGGTGCTCTAATTAACCTGTAGTAGGCTCTCCTCGGTCCATAAGGCTCTGATCATCCTGTGGCTTATGTATCTCCCATCTATCACTCTCCTGCTTCCCTCTGGCCCTGCTGTATCACATATTTTCCCTCCCGCCCCCACCCCCCCGCTCAACACTACAGGGTTGGGCTACACGGGATGAGAGGCTGTGCTGTCACGACAGGGCATCAGCATTGCCGTGTTGGTTTCCGGCCATATGCTGTACCTGGAAATGGAAGGGTTGCAGGGATAGGAACCATCTAGTCACTCTCACATTCTCCTTGTTTCTGTGCATCCATTGGAGTGGAGCATGGTCTGTCACAAGGGTGAACTGCCGCCCCAGTAAGTAGTATCGGAGAGTCTCTGTGCCCCATTTACTCGCCAGACATTCCTTTTCAACGGCGCTGTACCATTGCTCCCTGGGGAGGAGTTTCCAGCAGAGGTACAGGATTGGGTGCTCCTCCTCCCCTACATCTGCAAAAGGATGGCCCCTAGCCCTACCTCCGAGGCATTTGTATGTAGGATGAATTTCTTCTTGAAGACTGGGGCTATGAGCACTGGATGACTGCAAAGGGCCATCCATAAATCTGTAAATGCATCTCCGTCTTCTGCCACATTGGTCCACTTTACTATATTTGGGCCCCGAGCTTTTATCAGGTCCATCAACAGCCATGTCCTCATGGCGAAGTGAGGGATGAATCTATGATAGTACCCCAGTATCGGTAGGAATGCTCTGACTTGATTTTTGTGGACCAGTCGGGGCCAAACGTGTATTGCCTCTACCTATTTCCATTGAGGTTTCACCAACCCCCTTCCTACTACATACCCGAGGTATCTGTCCACGGCAAGCCTGACCACACACTTGGGAGGGTTAGGGTGAGGCTGGCCTGTCTAAGGGTGTCTAGAACCTCTTCTACTTTTCTAGGTGCATCTCCCAGTCAGGGCTATGGATGACTACGTCATCTAAATAGGCGGCAGCATACTTGGCATGGGGTCATAGTAATTTGTCCATTAGTTGTTGGAATGTTGTATGGGCCCCATGGAGTCCAGAAGGGAGGATGGTGTATTGGAAGAGGCTGTCGGATGTAGAGAAGACGGTCTTCTCCTTGGTGTCCTTGGCCAGGGGGATTTGCCAATAGCCTTTGGTCAAGTCCAAAGTGGTCAATCGGGCCTTGCCTAACTGATCAACTAGCTCACCGATGTGTGGTATTAGGTAGACATCAAATTGGGATATTTTGTTCAACTTCCATAAGTCGTTAAAAAACCTCAGGGTGCCGTCAGGCTTGGGGAGTAGGATGCTAGGGCTGGACCACTGGCTGTAGTATTCTTCAATAACCTCAAGTTCCAGCATCCTCCTCACCTCCACCCTAATTTCTTCCCTTTTGGTCTCTGGTACTCGGTATGGTTTTATCATTATCGTTGCTCCTGGGTAGGTGATGATATGGTGTTGGACCATCGTCGTACGGCCTGGCTGCATGGAGAACATGTCTTGGTTTCGCTGGATCATATCAATGACCTCTGTTCATTGTTCTGGGGTTAGTTCAGGGGATATCCTCACTTGCCCTTGTGAGCCATCTATCTGTCTCCCGGTCACACCAGGGTTTCAGTAAGTTAACATGGTACCAGTTCCAGCACCCATTCTTCTGCTTTCTCCCTGCTTTTGCCCGGCGGTTGTAATAGGTCCACTGGGCCTCTTGTGCTTTCTCCAAATTCTCTCATATTACGGGAGTCACTCGGGCTATTCGCTCTCTCATCTGTGCCATGTGCTCAATGACATTCTTCCCTGGGTTAGGCTGTTCTTCCCAATCCTCCTTGGCAGGGCCAGCTCCAGGCACCAGGCAACCAAGCTGGTGCTTGGGGCGGCACCTGGAGGGGGGCGGCGCGGCACTCCGGCCGCCGGAGAGAGCGGGGCCACAGCCGGGCTCGCCGCCCTCCCCCCGGCGCTCTGGCCACCCTCCCCCCCGTGCCCTCCCCCCTGGGGAGAGCGGCAAGCCCCTGCCGGGGCTCGCCGCCCTGCGCTCTGGCCGCCGGGGGGAGAGTCGAGCCCCAGCCGGGGCTCGCCGCCCTCTCGCCGCCCTGCGCTCTGGCCGCCGGGGGGAGAGCCGAGCCCCAGCCGGGGCTCGCCGCCCTCTCGCCGCCCTGCGCTCTGGCTGCCGGGGGGAGAGCCGAGCCCCAGCCGGGGCTCGCCGCCCTCTCGCCGCCCTGCGCTCTGGCCGCCGGGGGGAGAGCCGAGCCCCAGCCGGGGCTCGC